AGCTAATACAGATAAGATGAATATGTGTTCCGAATGAATAATAATTTAGCTTCCGAATATTCGTCCATAGACTATATTTCTAACTAATAAATATGCGTGAACCCTCAGGGGTTCACGCAATCAGTTGAAAGGGCTTAACTCATCAGATCGATACAAAGCAGAAAAACATCTGACAACAAGCACCGGACGTGGCAGGGTATTTAGACATCCCTGACAACAAAAAAGACACAAAGTACAGATCTGAGAGTTCTCGCAGTTACTGTCAGCGAGTCGTAACCAATAACAACTAATAAAAAAATCATGTATCTAAGACTAAAATATCAATCAGTGCACACCAAACATCCAATGGATTTAGTGTAAAAACGTCATTAACCGTCAGAGAAAAACACGATCTTATGCATTCCAAAATAAATGTATCGACAGATTGTAGTGAATGTGAATATGTGTACAACAATAATATTTATAGAAATAAGAAGATGTGGTATGAGTGCCAATGAGACAACTCTCCATCCAAGTCACAATGTGTAAAAAGTAAACAATTATAGGTCAAAATACGGCCTTCAACACGGAGCCTTGGCTCACACCGAACAGCAAGCTATTAAGGGCCACAAAATGACTTTTGTAAAACAATTCAAACACGAAAAATAAACGGTCTAATCTATATAAAAAACGAGAAACGAGAAACACTTATGAACCACATCAACAAACGACAAGCACTGAACAACAGGTTCTAGTATGATTTTAGTTTACTGATATCAAACTCAATATTTATACCAATAAAACAATATTCAAAGATCTAATTACAGTGTTGAATTGGTAACCCTTTTAAAATAAATGTAATTAAAGGATTGATAAATTTACCCGGATCGCATCTCAACTTCCGGGTTCGGTAAACAACATCACCGTAAAAATAAGGATGTGCTATTCCTTTTGAAATAAGTTTTTACAGTTACAGCCAAACATGCAAACCAAATCTTTGTACCTATGGAAGAATTCAGTAAATGTTTTAAGTAATTTGTGGTATCGAAATCCCTGACTTAATAATTTTCCAGCAATACAAAGATTACGGTCATTGAAATCCAAATCTTACTACAGAAACGGGTAAAGCAAACGAGTTGGGATATATAAACACGGTAAAAGTTTGCCAGAGGAACGTCACCGTCCAAAAAAGGAAAATTAACAATAGGGAAAGAAAAATCGTACCTTTTGTCGTAATTTTTTGTGTAGAGTTTCTGGTGTAAAACTGAAATAACTAAATCTAGGAAAGGGAAGTTATTGCTGTTGATATTTGATGTATTCAAAGTAAGTTCCTTTAGGTACATTTCGGTAGTATATTAAGAGAATTCTTGATTATTTAACAAAAATTTCAAGATAACTGTAAGTATTGTTGAATTTATCAATTAAATGGAAGTTAGACGGGTTGTTACTAAGTTTTGTCATAAGCTGTGATTAATAACAGTAAAACAACAAGTCTGATATTAAAGAGACACAATTGGTGCGCATAGGAATACATTCCACCTGTCGATAAACTTTAATGCCGAAACGCACATAAATATTGTCAATGAGAAAAACTACAGCTTTAATCATCTCATCACATCTCCAGTAAGTATAGCTAGCATATTTACCTTTCTCATTAGAGAACAGACTTTATATGAGTTACAGCAAATGAATTTACAATCAGTTTTATCAAACGACTATTCAATTAAATAGGAAAACTTTAGTTTGATAAGATTGTGTGGAAGTATGGTATAAAGGGTAGAAAAGTCAAAACTATCAACCGAATGAAAAGGACCACCAAAAGCACGTAATTTATCTAAAATAACGCTGTCTGATATCAGCTTTTCATTGTCATCTTCTTATAAGGAGATGTGATATGATTGCCAATGAGACAACTATTCTCCAAATTCAAATTCAAATGACGTAGATGTTTGCAATTATAGGTCACCGTACGATTGTCTACAATGAGACAACCCCATACGTAAAGTAAGCTATCACATGTTCCGACATGAAAAAAAAAAAAAAAAAACAAGTCTTTTTAATTCTTAACGGCATTATATATAACAATTCAACTTTAGAAAAACAAATAAAACAGACATGTAAAATATCGTTTCATCTCGGCCTCAAGTTAGTGTTCTACAACTAATCTTTCAGTGATTTTAACAAGTTCCTTAACTACTATCAAAGAGCTTATCATAAACTATTGTAATAAAATATATGAAAATAGTGGAATTAACTATTTTTGGAGTGTAAAAAGTTCTTTGAATGTTTTAGATAAATTGCTTGCTTTTGATGGTCCTTTTGATTCTGTTGACAGTTTTGACTTTTCTACTCTTTACACTACACTTCCACACAATCTTATCAAGCAAAAATTTGACCATTTAATTAAATGGTCGTTTGGTAAATCTGAATGCAAATATATTTGCTGCAACTCATTTAAAGCCTTCTTCTCTAATGAGAAAGGTAAATATGCTAGATATACTTACTGGAGGTGTGATGAGATGACTGAAGCTGTTAATTTTCTTCTTGATAATATTCATGTACGTTTCGGCATTAAAGTTTATCGACAGGTTGTAGGTATTCCTATGGGCACTAATTGCGCCCCTTTAATAGCAGACTTGTTTTTGTACTGTTATGAATCACAGTTTATGACCAAACTCAGTAAAGACCCGTCTGAATTGCATTTAATTGATAAATTCAACAACACTTACTGTTATCTTGATGATATTTTTTCGTTAATTAATCAAGAATTTTCTCAATATACTGCCGAAATTTACCCAAAGGAACTTATTTTAAATAAATCAAATTTAAACGGTAACAACTGTCCTTTCCTAGATTTAGATATTTCGGTTTTACACGGGAAACTCCGCACTAAAATTTACGACAAAAGGGACGATTTTTCGTTCCCTATTGTTAATTTTCCCTTTTTGGGTGGTGATGTTCCTTTGGCACCTTCTTACGGTGTTTATATTTCACAACTCGTTCGCTATGCCCGTGTCTGTTGTGACGTTTTTGATTTTAACCAACGTAATCTATGTATTACTGGTAAATTATTAAGCCAGTGATTTCGTTACCACAAATTACTTAAAACCTTTACTAAATTCTTCCACAGATATAAAGATTTGGTTTTGAAGTTTGGTTGTACCTGTAGAAAACTTATTTCAAACGGGATTGCACATCCTCATTTTTACGGCAATATTGCTTACCGTGCCCGGAAATTTAGAAACGATCCTGGTAAACTTATCGATCCTTTAAATAAACTTATTCTAAAAGGTTACCAATTCAACACTGTAATTAGATCATTAAATATTGTTTTTATTGGTACTAATATTGATTTTGTTATTAGTAAATTAAAAGCAAACTAAACATTATTGTTATATACATATACACATTCATGGATCTACAATCTGTCGATACCTATATCTTGGCATTGTACAAGGTCATGTTTTTCTCTGACTGTTTATGACGTCTTTACACTAAATCCATTGGATGTTGGCTGTGTACGGATTGATAATTTAGTCTTAGATGCATGATTTTTTTATTAGTTGTTAGTGGCTTTGAACTAGCTGTCAGTAACTGCGAATACTCTCAGATCTGTACTTAGTGTCTTTTTGTTGTTTGGATGTACAGGTACCCGGCCACGTCCACTTGTATTGGTAGTATTTGTATTTTATCCATTTGATGAGTTAAGCCTCTTTCCACTGATTTTTATAGTTCGTTATTATGTTGTACTGTTACACCACTGTCCCAGGTTCGGGGGAGGGTTGGGATCCCGCTGACATGTTTAACCCCGCCACATTCTGTATGTATATGCCTATCCCAAGTCAGGAGCCTGTAATTCAGTGGTTGTCGTTTGTTTATGTGTTACATATTTGTTTTTCGTTCATTTTTTGTACAAAAATTAAGACCGTTAGTTTTCTCGTTTAAATTGTTTTACATTGTTATTTCGGGGCCTTTTATTGATGACTGTACGGTATGGGCTTTGCTCATTGTTGAAGGCCGTACGGTGACCTATAGTTGTTAACTTCTGTGTCATTTAGTCTCTTGTGGAGAGTTGTATCATTGGCAATCATACCACATCTTCCTTTTTATATGAACCTACTACAAACTCTGAATTAGAAGCTCCTGACCTGGGACAAGCACATAACGAATTTTGCGTTGCTAAACATGTGAGTACTCAACTTTGTCCAAACCTGGGACAGTGGTGTTACAGCACAAGATAACAAATTCTAAAAATCAATTGCAAAATACTTATCTCAATAGATCGGTACGAAGCACAAACAAAATTAAATAAATAACATAAAAACGATAGACACAAAGCACCGATTTAAGATTACTCACAGTTACTAAAAACTACGTCAAAGCCAACGTCATATATGAATAAATCATAGTAAATATCCAGCGTATTTATTGTAAAGGCGTCATAAACACACGACCTTGTGCAATGCCAACATATAAGTAAACAGTAACGACAGGATGTAGGCTTTTTATAAGCCTTTTTAAAACTTTCTACATGTACCCATGTATTCTTAAAATGAAATTCACCTTATCGAATCATTTGATTTAGTTTAATGCAGGTATACCACAATACCAAACTCTTTTAATGCATAGTTTGACCTTAAACTTCAAATCTGACTAAGATATGTTATTGTAAAGACAACTATTACACCATACTCGGATGATGAAAAATCCAGGCGATGATTCGTGCAGTCCAATAATTTTAGCTCATTCCAATGAGCTGGTATATTTTACTTTATTTAGGTCAGACCAACCATTACTATGCAAGTAAGTACTAGAATTCTACTAAGCTTCAGATATCAAAAGTTAAAAGGATTTGTGTTCTACCTTGAGAATATTTGAAGTTACTTGTTGAAGACCGTGTGTTTACCTCTAGATGCATTTTAGATATCGGAATGTGTGTCGTTGTGTTGCTGCCTTATCGCCTTATATCTTTCATTGCCTTTAATTCATATATCATATAAAAATAAAATAAACAAATGATGTATTGTGCAAGACACGTAATTCGAGCAGTTTAATCAATAGCTTTATTTTTCACAAATGTAACCTCCAAGATAGCTTCCACTATCACACATGACATTATGGAATTTATATCTGTCCTGCGCATAGAAGAACATACAGTCTTGTGGTGCCGCGATAGATCCATTGGGTTCTCCGTCACCGAAGGCGTAGTACGTCATTTTTGTCATCTGTTCATTTTTAACCCACCTCCAATCACCACCAGTAACGTATCGGTTGATATTTCTTCCACCAACGTAGTAGTGTAAACCTGTTTGAGATTGAAAAATTTTGATAAAAAGACTAATCTAAAAATTCGATTGGATGAGATATAAAAAAAGTCACAGATCTTTTTTTAGACGTGAGTGCATAATATTCATAAATAATATGTTGATGAATAGTGGTATCAATATCACATTCGATAGTCGATCAATATCATATTCGTCTATTGTCTTCTACATAAATCAGGCCGTTGCTTTTCTTGCTTGAATTGTTTTTCATTTTATCATGTGGGGGCCTTTGATGGCTTTTTATGATTTTGCACTTCTTTGCTGAAGGTCGTACAGTGATCTTTAGTTGCTAACATCTACATCATTTGGTCTCTGATGAATAGTTCTCTCATTTGAAATCTTACCACATCTCCTTATTTTATCTTGATACTGTTTATTTAACCCTATTATTTTCATACACGCAACATACATTTGCAAGTCTTTATATGATAATCTCACAGTATAGTTGTTGTTTTTAGCTGCAAACCCATCAGCTTAATTTCACCTTTAACATTATTGGTAATCTGATTATGGATCCTTTATGTTTATACAGCCTTCTATCTTTTTATACAACATTGCATTTCCAAAACGTTTAATTGGCTCCAAGATATCTGATGGAGGAAATTAAATTTTGTTCGTCAAATTGAAAATCTAACTTTCTGTTTTAGTACATGTATTTATATTTTAATTTGACAATGCATTATTGTTTTTAGTGTGACTCTTTGGTCCTACCTGAATTCTTTTGCTGCAGTTTCATTTTCATTATCATGGCTTCCTCAAGGGTTTCAAAATTAGCCAAGTAAGCACCTCTCTTCGCACAGAGTGCCTATGTACAAAAAAATATGCACAATATGGAATTTTACATCAGTTCAATAATTGGAAAGAATTAATCATATCAATCATCATCATGATTTAAACATTGGAGACAAGACAATAAATCTTTCAACTGTACAATTGTAAGACACTATAAGTATAAACATAGACGAGGTTCCTGACTTTGGACATGCGCATACAAAAGTTGGTTGAGCACCAGTGGAAGGTTTTTGGAGAAATGTCTTTTGATGTTTTATTTTTATTTGTATTGTCTTTATAGTTTGTAAGCCATGTATTTTTCATGTCGGGATCTTTTATATCCGACTATACGGTATGGGTTTTTCTCATTGTTGAAGGCCGTACGGTTGCCTATAACTGTTTACATCCACTTCATTTTAACTTTAATGGATAGTCTCATTGCCAATTATACCACATCTTCTTAATTTTATATTTTAATTTTATTCATAACGGACCATTTTCTGAGGACCGAGGTTTTCAGGTAACATGATGCTAAGGATACAATACTCTGGTACTTACATGATATATATACAAAAACAAACCTATAAATGGTATTTTGCATATATAGAAACCAATTATAGGTCACCGTACGCCCTTAAACAATGAGCTAAATATTTGCCCTTTTCTATAAAATTCACACACAACTGGTCTACCCACTGGCATTCGATTTACTTCTCGACTATATACGATTTCAAAAATAGACAATAATTGTTTATATTTTGGAGAACATGTTGACTTCTAGCTGCTTTGTGTGTTGTATTGATACTATAATAATTCCTTTGACGTATCATGTTCTATTTAACTTTTCACTAACACACTGTATACGTGAACATAAAAACCAATAAGTTGCAAGAGAAATTTGTTCCCTTCGAGATTGTCTTTGACATGGCCATCGTAAAATTGGAACAAACAACTCCTCAAGGTAGAGACAAATATCACACATGACCAGCTCGTGTATAGATTCTACAAATGCTTGTAAAATTTTGTTTTGATTTTACCACCATATAACACATGTAAACAATCAGTGTACTAGTATGTGAAACTACATTGCGTCAGTACTTATCTGTTGGTTCATTGTTTATACGTACAAATGCTGCATCACCAGACACCTTGTCATTACTGATAAAGTAACAGCCATCCCCTATCCTTACGTAGGGAGCTTGACAGTTATCTGTTAAAGAAAAACAAATTTTCAATGAAATCGAAAGTGGTAAGATGTAATATCAGAAATCAGATACAAAAGATTTTTTAAAATTGCATTTGACAGACAGACAGACAGACACACAGACACACACACACACACACACACACACACACTCTCTCTCTCTCTCTGCCATCAAACCATAAAATTTCAAATTTTCCTGTGGATTAGTTATAAATTTTAACTATCGCCCTCGCTGCATAGTTACAGTGTCCTCTTCATTGACGCCTGGGCCAATCAAAATGCTCCCGTATTCCATTGTTCTGTGTGATGGTAAAACGGTAATACGTTTGATCGGTCCTCTGGTCATGTTATTACACGGAAATGAGACAAAGACTGTTTTAAATCACATTCAAATTTTAAATATTGTTTATAACATTAGTACTTTAAATCTCGCATATAAGTAATAAGCATTGATAATTACCTCCTAACACAGAGGTAAATGCCATAGCAGTGCAAAACAATAGAATTTTAATTTCCATTCTAAAGTCAGGAAGAAAATGACTTTCTAAGGTGAAACTGAAAAACAGAATAAGAGAGAACTAATTACTAAGAACAACATTCACGTAATATGCAACACATTTTACGATTTTGTATTTGAATACCTTACAAAAACCGTAAAAACAGAATTCCGTAGTTTCTCTCCCACTTTCCTGTCTACTCCTACGCCACTGCTTTATGAGGCTGGTAAAGGGGGGGGGGGGCCTGAAAACGGAAACCCGTGAAATAAAAATCGAAAAAACGTTGCACGGAGAATGAAAATCGGGAAAAACGAAGCACGAGAAATTAAATCGTAAATATTAAGGAAAAAAGTACTAGAAGTTATTACTCAGCCGTTCTTGGAGATCATGCAGTCATCATTTATGGACATGAAGACCCTGCGGTCACCTTTTATCGTCCGCTAGTTGTATCTGATTTGAAAAAAATATTATTCATAGTAATTTGATCGACTTTATTACATACCATACATATAATATAGAATTGTAAATATCCGAGGTGACTTTGAATTAGTCCCGGTTTATTTTTTAATCAAACGCGGGACAAGCACGAGAAATTTAGAGTACCGACACGAAACACGGAAAATAAATAAGGGGAAACACGAAGCACGCACATCGAACCAAACACGAGAAAACGAGAAATAAAACGTCAAAACACGAAAACACGTGAAATAAAAAAGCCGAAAACGTTGCAGGAAAATAACCCTTTACCACCCTCCTTTAGTCTCGATGGTTTTAAACTTGATAATTTGTAGTCTGGCATTTGGTTTGTACTATATAACAATTTCTCGATATCTTTTGGGATTTTGTGTAACAGTTGTTTTGTTGCTGTTGTTTTATCGACATACACCTAACATCTCCTTTTATTTGTATTTACTATAATAAAAAATAAATATGGTTATGACTCATTTTTTGTTACAAAGGGAACTAACTTACTGCAAGTATTAGTGTAACTTACCCGATCAAAGCCGTGCCAGTCTTCTGCATTCCTCCCAATAAGAGGCTGATTATAAACCTTATTCAGTCAGGAAAAACGCACAAAATACAACAACATTTTCCTGTTGACACAAACGTAATAGTTTATATAATCTTAATTACTGCATTTTAAACTGAAAAATATGACGCAGAATAGTAACATGAACAAACATTTGATTATCAAAGGATCACAAAAGGACGTCGCTAACTCATACATCCTGTAAAAAAGTCGTAGTTTGTTGTTTTAAAATTAGAAAATTTTACGAACGTAAATTAATGTTATGTATCAATACAAGGACACTTTCTCAAATTCGATATTTTTTGTGTATATGCATATTAATTGGTCATACTTGATATTCCTCGAAAACATTGTAGGAGCAAACAGGAACATTTTGGTCTGGAACAATCAAATATCATGTTGTCAAAGCAAAAAGCAATTAACAAAACAGAAAGGGGAAAATTGAATGCATGAGAAAGACCATAAAAAATGAATGTCAAAATTACATCATTTAAGTTAGTATTTAAAAAAAATAGATTGAGTAGGATTTCAAATGAGATAACTATCCAATAAGATCAAAGGACGATGATGAATACAATTATATGGCACTGTACATCTTCTATCAATGAATAATGTTAACCCATTCTGTAAAGTTTATTAATACAAACTTTTACAATTAAGATATATCATGTCAGCATCTGATTGTACCCTGATTGGTCATTATATATCAGATATATGATATACAGTGATATCAAATATTAGTGTAAAAAGGGGCGAAAGATACCAATAGAACATTCAAATTCACAAGTTGAAAACAAACTGGCAACGCCAATGTATCTGTATATATTGATAACGTTCAGTTATTTTTAAGTTTGAGGTAGAGAAGAAAGTTGCACTGAAAATCGTATAGAATGATTAGATAATGTTATTTCTGTTGATAATTAAATTCAGTAACTTAATTATGTCGATTGATTGATTGTTATTGGGTTAACGTCAGGTGACAAATACAAATAAAGGCAACAGTAGTATACCGCTGTTCGAAATTCATAAATCGATAGAGATAAAAACAAATCCGGGTTACAAACTAAAACTGAGGGAAACGCATCAAATATAAGAGGAGAACAACGATACAACAAAAACACAACATTAAAATGTAACACAAAGTAAAGAACTATAATATAACAATGGCCATTTTCCTGACTTGATACAGGACATTTTAAAAAAAAAAGGTTGGTTGAACCTGGTTTTGTGGCATGCCAAACCTCCCGCTTTTATGGCAACGTCAAACACAACACCAAAACGATAACATCACATGACAGGACCACAATACAAATAAATGGGAGAACATATAGGACAAAGAAACACACGAATAATAGCTAACAAAAGGTACTAGGCTTAAAATTCAATAGCCAGACGTGCGTCTCGTCCACACAAGACCAACCAGTGACGCTCAGATGAAAAAAGTTTGAAAGCCAAAACAAAACAAATCAAAGCTGAAAAGCACCGAGGACCAAAACTTCCAAAAAGTTGCGCCTAACACGGCCAGGTTTTTCTGTCTTGTACAAGAACATCCTTATAATTTAGAATAATTTATAATTTTGCAAACAGTAAATTTTATAAAATGACTATATAATATATACATGATAAAACCGAAGTGGGGACTAACTACAGAATAAAAACGGATACATTACATAAAACAAATTAATCCAACACATAAAAATACACAGCCGAGTTAGCCAAAACCACAACGCACAAAGTGACGTCACATTTGAAATTCTAAAAAAAAACACACAAAGTGACGTCACATTTGAATTTGTAAAATGTTTCCCAAAAAAAAGATAGGATTAAGATTGAATATAACAAGTATGATGTTTGAAGCCACGGGATTTGCAACAGCAAGAGATTATGGCACTATCCCTACACGAAGCATAAGATTCATCATCCTCATTCAGATCAGAGCCAAACGGATGCCCCTCTCGACAACGGGTGTCGGTTGGTATAGGTTAAGGGTTAACCATAGTTCTTTACCCCCAGGCAACCTTCCGGGTCTGATTACTTTGAAAGTACGATATAACAGTTCAGTAAAATTCTTTCATTATAAGCAGTGAATATTGTAGACAGTGTTCCTTCTAAAACAACTGTAACTCATTAAATAACTTATGTTTATCGTTCAACAAAACTCATGGAAAAAAGAACATGCACTTTTGATAAATGGCTTCAGAAAATAAAATCCATGATGTAATTTAATTTATCTCTCTTCCATTACCATATTTCTTCGATTATGAGCTAGAGTATTATATTTCAAGATAGGTATAGACAGCTTTGTGCCAAAAACAATTGTAGATGCTTTACGAATATTCCTCTAATCGTTGTGAACATGCCACAAATGATATAGAGTCCCATCAAGTATCATTTTCTCGTTTACAAGGAAGTGGTAAAAAGGGGTGCGACAAGACAGACATAACCGTAAAAAATATTCAACGTCACCACACTCAACACTCGGCTCAACCATTATTATTTTGGAATAATTTTAAAAAAGAATTGAACAAACTCTTTGAATAATATGATCATGATAGTCAGATGGTTCATACTTCCAAATAAGTATAAGCAAAATGCAATAAAAAGGATCTAGTGGTCTCCTGGAAAAGCTTATTGATATTATTTGATTTATTCCTCTTTTATTATGTCAGTTAACAAATCAGCTCATATAAAGGATATAATTATCGAAAAGGAATTGTCTTGTGTCGACATAATCATATGAATTAACCATTTAAAATGTGTGTTCTTTATTTACTGCTCGTATTAAACATGTATACTGTATTTAATACATCTTTTCTGATATCACAGATGTATCATCTTGTATTGAAGGTTCCGAACTACCAATATTATTAAACACATGTTTGATGAAATAAAATAAAAATAAGACACATAATAAAAAGTACAAGAAAACTGAAATAATCGCCTTTTTGATTTCGTGCGTCCGAACTGGATTTACCTTCATCAGGAACGCTCAAACCTTATCATTTGAAAACCTGTGTGCATAAATACGGTAAAATGCTATGAGCCACATAAGCTACACATATCACATCTCTCATCACAATAAAAAAATGCATATCCAATGTCCGTGAAATGTAAATACACACTACCGTATGATAGAGAGCAAATTTGTGATTTTAAGTACGCGTTTATGAATGTCAATGAAATCGGAATATTAAGAGTATACTCCGACGCACCGTATCAACTGAAATACACATTAACCAAAAGCTATAGGGCAGAAAGTATTGCTACTAAAGTAAATAGAGGCAACAGTTGTATACCGGTGTTCAACTCGTACATCCTGTACGTGACAGAAATATAGCACAAACACACACAAGAACATTCATCACAGAGAAACGCACAAACAAATAATAAAATAGTCGACACAACATGCAAACCGCAGAACAACAACGAACATATTCCATCAACGACAAACACCACAGGATATCACAAACAATGACGCGCGTACGTAACTAACATCCAATCTCGAACTTTATACAATTATTTTCACAATACTCGTCCAAACAATTCTATTTGTAAAATATATTCTAGTAAAAAATAAAAAAAAGTAAAAAACTAAATCATGAAAAAACAAACAAAATTAACAAAAATATAAAACAAAAACTATAAAACATAATGTATGGAAACAATTTGTGGAAGCACCTTTTATCTACAGGACCTGAAGAATACAGCCAAAATCATTTAAGGTCACCTTTGTCTAATGGAGTTTTCACCTGTAATAGATGACTAGACGACGGAAGCATGGGACGTCATAAAGAATAGATTATGTGGAGCCTGAGACATTTGTCGCAAAAAACAAGACATAGAGATCATACATTCCATCGGAGTCACCATTTAGATTAGGTCTATGTTTAACTTTTCAAGACACAAATATCTTAATCAAATCTACAGAGAACTTTACGAAACTTTGGCAGAGGCAAAACTTAGATTTTTTTTCCATTCCATTTTAATGTATTTTACTGACAAAAACCACTTACTTTTTTTGCAGTTCACATTAATATACAGTATAAGGTTTAACTTTTTAAGACATCATTAACTTTGTCAAACCGTCATGGAATCGTATGAAGCATTTAAACCATCTTTTTAATAGTACCAGGAACACAGTTATCGTTCTTTGATTTTCGTTGTCTAGACAATTAGTAGAGTCTTGAGTGGACAGTATATAACTTGCAAATGTTTTTACTACAACTTCTAAATTAATTTCTTTGTATTTTATGCATAAAATAGTAAGAAGGTGGTGAAGCTACATGTAGAGAAAATTTTGGGCATGAATTTTTAGGTAAATGAATGATTTGGTCCAGTTTGAAAAGGTAAAACATTAGTATGTCTGAAGCTGTCAAACTGAATCATAGACCCCTCAACATAAAATTGTCCATATTTTTAGTTTCTATAATTTTGAAATAATTTGTCCAAAAAGTAATTCACTACACTGCAAAAAACTTTTTTTGATAGAGCAGATACGATTTTTTTTATACGCCTTTTTTGTCTAAATGAAATGCACTACAAAAATAACTGTGTTCTTGGGCCCAAGATGACCAAGCGACAAGAGACGGTAATCAGAACATCATTTTAAAAATATATATTTTCAACCATTCTCTATTTCTCATAAATGGACCTAATTCTATTTCAATGTATTAAGATACAGATGGGAATTTAAGTTTTTAAGTACCTGTCTTTGTAAAAATCATGCAGAGGGTGATTCATGACATGTCACAGAAGTAATTTTTTTGGCCCTATATCATAAGAACTTTGGTAGAAAAGTAAAATTCTGTCTTTATTTTCCCTGTATATTGCCCGTTGCCATGGTAACCATCAAAACAATATTTTGCCTGAATATGTGAAAAAAGACCCTTTTGAAAATTTAAAATAAGGGAATTAAAAGTCCTGTGGAAATTAAGTTAATCAATAAAAACAATTAAGGTTTTTACATTGTTAATAAACAAAACCCCAAACTTTTCAAAAACGTTAAAATTTTGAATTTACCAAATAGTTTGTTTCCATAGCAATCATTTAAAAATGTGTTAAAATTCGAAAATGAAAAATTTCAAAAACT